TAAAAAAACAAAAACAAATGGAGTGACAGTCCTCCAGAAATGGACAATTTGCCAAGTATCTCCAGGGAATGACCATACAATTTTGTAAGACATACTCAGAGTATTTATGCATTACAAAAGCACAGAGCAGTTGTGTGTTTGTGCTAACCCGGAGTACTTTCAGTAAAGATTCTCGCAGGATTCAAAGGGAAATCAGCTCCAGATCTGGGGCAATCTTAACTTGTGACCCAGTCAGTCATGGTCCAATTAGCTGACTCCCAGGAGAACTTTCTAACTCCTTCCTGACCGTAAACAAGCATGCATGACGGGAAAGGGATTCTGTGTTTTGTTGTAAAAATATTTTTAAAAATATTTTAAAAGTAGTAAAGTACCAATATTCAGAAGCTCACTCATTTAAGCTCTGAAATTACTGTTTTTTTTGCTTTGTGGTTGGGGATGGTATTATTCATTGTTACCAAATTACTCAATAACCTGTCATAGTTTTAACTATTCCACCTGTCTTGTCTCTGTACAATTGTCTGGTAATTAAGAAAAAACCTCCAAAAATACTATGTTCTATTGAGTCATTTATGATGTGTGGTGACTATGGGCTCCAAAATGTCATTTCCTTAACAGCTCTGCTCAGATCTTGGAAACGAACAACATCTCATGTTAGGTTGACCTCTCATTGTACTGCCTCCCCTTCTTAACAATATTGGCTTTTCAGGTCTGTTCAGGTCTTGCAAACTAACAGCTGTGGCACCCTTTATTGAGACAATCTGTCTCATGTTAGGTTTTCCTCTCTTCCTACTCCCTCCCATGCTTTTCTCCAGCAATATTGTCCTTTCTAGTGAGTTCTGTATTTTCAATGTATGTGGATGGTTAGAACAGCCTCACTTTCCTCATTTTTGCTCTAGTGAGAGTTCTGGCTTGACCCATTTATTAGCTTTTCCCATAGTCTGTGATATCTGTAAGGCTCTCCAACAACATATTTTGAATGAGTTCATTTTTGTTCCTGTCTTTCTTTCACATAGTATATGATTTTTACCTTGGCTTCCAGTAACAGTCTTTACCAACTTCCAGCTCTCCCACTTTTTATTTCAAAAGGCAAGAGGAAATCTAATGGTTATTGTGGGTTTTTCGGGCTCTTTGGCCGTGTTCTGAAGGTTGTTCTTCCTAACGTTTCGTCAGTCTCTGTGGCCGGCATCTTCAGAGGACAGCACGGTCACAGAGTGCTGTCCTCTGAAGATGCCAACCACAGAGACTGGTGAAACGTTAGGAAGAAAAACCTTCAGAACACAGCCAAAGAGCCTGAAAAACCCACAACAACCATTAGATCCCAGCCATGAAAGCCTTCGCGAATATACAAGAGGAAATCATTTGAAAACCATTAACACAACATGTATGTAGAGCGTTTGTAGAGCCAATATAGCTGTTCTTCCTCAGCTTGCCTACCCCAAGGAAAGGGTTTGGATATTGGAACCTAGCTTTCTGTTCTGCATTCTGTGGAGTGGGCATGGCAACATTAGCTTGAAAAGTTACAGGACGTTTATGTTTTTCCATTGTATGTTTTGTACCTACCCACACCTTTGCTTCAACATTTCCAAAACAGTCCTTCAAAATATTTTGACACAGCGGCAGCCACATTCTAAATGCTTCTTTCCTCTCTCAGCAACCATAGTACAAATCATATGCTCATCTTCTGGTATCCTCCAGCAATGAGTAATTCTACATGAGCGGTGTTTCTGTTGGAATTTATGTGTAGTGTATGTATGCTTAAACTTCCATCACCTTCTATCGGAGTTCGATTGAGAGCATATTATCCTACTGTCTCTGTGTATGGTTCACGAGCTGCACAGTGGCAGAGAAAAAGGCAATTCAAGGGGTGATCAAGACGGCCCAAAACATCATTGGCTGTTCACTCCCCTCTTTGGAAGAATTGTATAAGAACAGATGTAAGAGGAAGATATCTAACATACTGAAAGACTCCTCTCATCCGGGATATCAGCTCTTTAAACTATTACCATCAGGAAGGAGATTCAGGGTATTGAAAGCAAGGACAAGCAGATTCAAGAACAGTTTTTACCCAAGTGCAGTATTGAGTTTAAATGCGGGGCCATAGGTTTTTGGTGGAATTTTAATTGCTGAGAGAAAACGGGGTATCTATATTTGGATGGTGAAAGTTGTGTATATTTTAACTTTTTTTTGTAGTGTTGTCCAGTTTTACCTTGGGGAAGAGCACCTCATTTTGTTGCACCCACTTGTGAGCGCAATGACAAATAAATTTCTTATGTCTTATGTCTTATGTCTTAAAAAACCCAGAAAATTTATTCTTAATAAAACCCCTGATTTTTGAACATGAAATAGTGTGCTTCTGTATCCATGATTCAGAAGGCCAGGAAACAGCCCAATGTTGCTGCACAATACCATGCCCGTGTTGCCAGCAGGGAAAAGAATGCCAAGCTTTGCATAGCAAAGGTCTGCTTGAATGTTGACGGCAATAATGGCAAGAGTCAAAATGGTCTGCAGGATAGCTTCTTGTGCTCACTACTATTCACAAAGTGACACCAAGCAAGGGAAAATCCCAGAAGCTGACTCCTTTTGTCATCAATTAACCACTTCTTACCCAAATACAGGGCTGTTTTTCAACAGGTGTGAAAGGCACAATATCACATATTCATTAACCAGAGGTTTTTTTGAAGAATTGAATTGTGATGTAGGTGCCCAGTGAAACTACCCTGTTTCCCTGAAAATAAGAGCTAACCTGAAAATAAGCCCTAGTATGATTTTTCAGGATGCTTATAATATAAGCCCTACCCCAAAAAATAAGTCTTAGTTAAGTGAAAGCCTGCCCTCCACCATTGTACAGCAACCAGAAGATGACATGACTGTATTTGAATAAACGTAGATTGTTGTAAATGAAAAAAAATAAAACATTCCCTGAAAATAAGCCCTACTGCTTTTTTTGGAGCAAAAATTAATATAAGACCCTGTCTTATTTTCGGGGAAACATGATACTATCTCTTCTCGTCACCCTTTGCACCTTATTTCACAAGGCACGTGAAGGGGAACAGGCTGGAGGATAGCATCAGGGTCCAGATGTATTCATATGTAATGAGATACTTCTGCACATTACCTTACCAAGCTGTGTAGTACTAAAGCCAGTGTCTTGAATTCACCCAGAAACAGACCGGCAGTCAGAACACAGGCCAAATGTTGTAACGGACAGTCCTAGTTAATCATCTAATTCATCTTGGACCAAGTAAAGTTTCCTTGCCAGTTTCAAAGGTAGCAAAGCTGATATAGCAGTAATCCAAACCAAAAGAGCAACTTTTGCATGGCTTCATAGTTTTTGAAGAATTTTAATTGGTATATTAGCTGAAGTTGATAAAAGGTTTCCAAAGTACCAAAGCCAGACGACTTTTAGTGACAATGATCTGCTCAACAGCCCCCCAAACTATAAATCTGGTTCATTGAGGCAGAATTGAGTAACCCATGGTCTTCTAGATTTGCCATTCTGAATCTTTTTGGCCATGGCCCTTTTTGGAGCTCTTCTCAGGTTCCAGGGCCCCTGGCAAACAGGGATACAACACAAACAGATGCATAAAAAAATCCGCTTCTCATATTTTTCAGTCTGCACTCCCCTTTCAAATCCTCTTCAAATGTGCCAGGGCCCCTCCAGAGAGCCATATCGCCCCTCCGCTGAGAATGGCTGTTCTGTATGTTGTTGATCCACAATTTGCATAATGATACTGGGAGTGACACACCAACATGTAGAAGCCACAGGTTGCCTCTGAGATTTGAGTGCAGAATGAACACCACTGTTAGCTTGAAAGGCAGACAATCCAATTTGAACAAAAAAAATCCTTATTTGTTAATTTGAGCTTTGTTGAGCTCAGCTGCAGAACCATTGTCTGCCCAAGTATGACCTTCTAGAATTATATATTTGGGTAGGAGCTCTACTGCCACCTTGAAAAGCAGATGGATATAATGCTTGTTGGTTTCAAAAACCACTGAGAGCTCCATGAAAATTAACAGAGTTCTATTCCCCCTGTTTTCCTCTCAACATAGTAGGTTTTGTTTTGTTTCTGCAAACCAGACCTGAAGTTAGTTAAAGCAGATGTAAAAATCCAATTTCTTCTTATGGTAGCTAAAATTGACCAACAACCACTTTCTCAATCATTTTGCCCAGGAAAGTGATGCTAGCAGCTGACCCACAGTTACTTCTATTATCTGGGTCATGCAGCCTGATCAGTCCCTCTTTTGAAGGACCTTTGGGAAATCACAGCTTCCTGAATCTAGTCAGCCTTTTTTAGCATTTTTCCCCACTTGAAAGTTTTAAGGAACTGTAGTAGAAAGAGAACATAAATAATACTTTTTTAAAGAAGTGGGGAAAAAAACTTACCTATGTTTAGTATAAATGGAATGGAAATAGTAAATGTGTATCCCTAGAATAACCTTTGCACCTCCTTTTTTAGTTTGTCAATTTCCTTTGAAGTAATGTAAATAGTAAAACTAAAGGTGTATATTGTATGGCAGGAAGTTGGATACATTGAAAGATTTTCTTTTCGGTGAATAATTGGCCTAACTGACCAACCTAAATGAGGTCAGAAAGAACTGGACCACATTATATGACATCCATAATTACTAGATATGTTTTAGTGTTGTTTCTGATGTAGTGCAACTTTTGCTGTTATTTTCTCTCTATGCATATCTTTTCAAGGTAGCTTATACTTGTATTTAAAAAAATAGAATAAAGTTATTATTTATATAGATGTTGCTGTAGTTGCTGCCTGGTTAACTGTTGTCCAAAGTGGACCGCTGAAATCTATTTTAAAATGAGACAAGTTTCTTATCTGTATTTTATAAGAAAGCAAGTAAGTTTAACCATAAATTTATGGTTACAATGTTGGACATTAACTATTTTGTGTCACAGTAACTTTTACTGGCTGATTGGGACCAGACAAAGATGGCAAATTCCTGGCACGTGAAATAAAATCTTGATTTTCATTTAATTGTAGGGCATGCATGAACTCTTAGCACCTATTGTCTTTATTCTGCATTGTGATCATCAAGCTTTTCTACATGCAAGTGAAGCTGCCCAACCAAGGTAGGTATCACTTATTTGTTATCCTAAGATAAATTAATGTGTTCCTTGATTAGCTAGGCTAAACTAACTTGCAATTAAAGTAGTTCAATTTGAATCAGTGGAACTTATAGAGGGATTGACTCACCAAATCCTCATTGATTCATTGGGCCTACTTTAATATACTAAGGGGCAGAATTTTGGTGATTATGTGTGCCATTTGATTGCACATTATATAACTGTAATCTTATTTCAAAAGGTGCCAGTTAATATTATTGAACAGTCACCTTAAGAATTTATTCCCAGTTTCACAGAAAAGATAGTTAAATAAATATTCCAGTAAAAAAAAGCAAAGTGTGCTGCTTATGTACCACCCCATAGCACGTAAAACACTGTCTGGATGGTTTACAAGTTAATTATGTAGGCTACACATTGCGCCCCCCCCCCGCCCCCAATCAGCTGGGTACTCATTTTACCAACCTCAGAAGGATGGAAGGCTTAAGCCAGCTACCTAGAATTGAACCCTGGGTCATGAGCACAGTTTTGGCTGCAGTACAGCAGTTTAACCACTGCAGCATGAGGCTCCTAGTTAAATGTTTAACTAGCAAGTTTGATTTAAAGGTTTTAATTGCTCAGTCCCCAAATGAACCTTTTAGAATTAATCTTTTAAAAGTTACCATAATTTAAATAATGAATTTAGCATAACTCCATGCATTTTGTTGTGTTGTATTTTTACTGGTATTTAGTAGCATTAAAATCCTTTGCTTTTTATTTTACCTGTTACCACATGGCTTCTCTTACCAATATTCAGCATTGATAAAGGGTTCCGTTCATTATTAGAATGATTAATTTTTATCCACTTATTTTGAACCAGCCTGTATATTTGATTCACTCACTTGAAATGAAATCCTGCTCTTTTAGATAGGCTGCCTTCATCCAGTATTGGTTGGGATTGCAGCACATATGGAGAACACTTGTACTGTTAAATGGATGGTTGTTACTATCTATTTTAACACCAGTGATTTCGCTTTCGACTAGGGAGAATGAATACAGGCACATGTTCTCTGCCATTTATCGAATCAAAACAAAAATTGTTTCTGGCACCACCAATTATTTGTCCAATTTTGTGAAAAGAAAAAATTCTTACATGCAGCATAAGGTACAATTATTATTGCTACATGAAATGATTTATCAACTGGACATATATACCTGTTAGAAATTACATAATAGCTAAGATCCAGACAATCTCTTATATGCATTGCTGAACCTCTGTATGTGAAAACTGAGGGTAATTTTTTTCTCTCTATTCCATCCTCTGTCACATGTGCCCATCAGTGTTTAAAGTTGTTTTTCAGTAAGCAAAAGGGCTGTAGGAGGATTAGAAATCTACAAGATACATGAGGCATTCCACACAATGTTGTTTGCAGAAGGTATGCACGAAGAAAGTGTCAGGTTTCTCAAAGTAACCAATCCTCCCCCTTGTCCCTTATACCCGAGAAGAAAATGGATAAGAAGTGTTGTCACTGATTAATTACTGCTAAAATGTGATAAAAATAGATTCTATTAAAATAAATCACTGTTTTCATATTGTGTATTTGACCACTAACCGTATTTTTTGTTTTCAACAAACAGTGATAGATTGTGGAGTGATCAATTATTCTAGATCAAGCTTATTCAAATAATACATTGTGGCATTCAGTAATTTGTTATTTAGAATAATTAGATAGTTACTTCATTGTAGTGCAGACAAGGCAGCTAATTTATTTTTGATCTTTGGAGAGAGTAAGAACTTCATTTGTCTTCAATGGATTTACTATTTTTAATTACAAAGGCTAGGTTTACTTACTTATAGTTCCTCTGTAAGTTAACTAAGACAGTTAAATATCAGAAAAAAACTTTTAATTGTTTGTGTGCTTTTTTCCCTCAACAGTGAAGAAATGAGAGTTCTTCTAAATCCTGAATACCTTGAACACGATGCATAGTATGGTTCTGCAATTTCTTTTTCTTGATACATTTATTTGTGCTAGAATCATAATCATAGCCATGCTTATCAAAACAATTCATTTCTCTACAGTGCAATGTTTACTCATCTTATGAAAACAGCAGAAAACTGGTTTTCAACCAGCGAGCATGATGGTCAAAAGGTAATTGCTGATAAAATGTATTAATAAAAATTACTGTTCAAACTTATTGACTACATATGATTTAAATAATAACAATAATAATTTCTACAATTTATTTATACAAATCCTGGAGGTTTCCTTTTTTAAAACTATCTGAACAAGTTGAATTGTGTGAACAGGATAACATCTCATAATAATGTAATTTTATAGTTCAGTACTTAGAGCTGGCTAATGCACCACAGCAGGACAGTAACTAAGTTATTCTGTAGCAAAAGAACAGAGGGGTGGTATAACAACATCAAGGTCAAGGGCAGGTGGAAAGAGTGGGTGACTGAAGCATCTTGGCTTGCAGTCCCCAAAACTGGAAAGTTGGCACCAGCAGACGCCCTTCAACAAAAGTTTAGTGATAAGTATTGAACTCCTGCGTGTTTACATCCAAATGGTTTTGAATTTGAAAATGTTATTAGTATGTTATCCACTGGTGAAAGTGTCAGACAAAGGTGTATTTTATCTCTGTTCAATATAAGCAGAACATATAGTATGAAAAGCTGAATTAGATTCAGATGGAAGGAGGAGTGAAAATTGGTGGAACATAGTTTCTAATATCTGGAAGTTGAGTCATGGCAACTGCACTTCTATCTTATTCGGTTGAAATATTTCACTACTCATCCAAGTAGCTTCTTCAGTCTGAGGAGAGTTGGTAGGAGATCCCTGATATATCTTCCATGTTGGTTTCACTTTCCCCTGGTTTAAATGGGCTTGTTAGATGGACAAAGGACAGTGAGTGAAAAATTCAACTTCTACAGTCCTTTTCCATCCATTGTCATGGGTCGGTATCATGGTTTTTCTGGTGGGTATGGTCCTGGTCTTTCTGGGGATGGATGAAAGGGCAGCATGGTAAGTGGAAGCCAGATTGTATCCAAAGCCTCCACCCCTGTTGAATGAGGGATTTTCTATATGCACATGAATGGCCTCCCTGACTTCTCTCTCACCAGGTATCTTCTCAGTCCAAAATGAGTACATCTTGGTCATCAAATGAGTGTCCTTTGTCCTTCAAACGAACAGTGCTAATTGTGGTCCTGAGCCATTGCCCTTCCTGTGCTGAGCCATTCTCCTGTTTAGTGGCTGTTTGTTTTCTCAAATGTAGAGTTCCAAACATTCCTCTTTGCATTGGACCACATGTGCTATATTGTTCCTGTTGTATTTTGGTGTCCAGTTTTTTTGGATGGATGAGTCTCTGCCTTAGTGTGTTAGTGGGTTTAACTTAATTGATAAACAACATTATTTCAACAAGTATTCCCCTTGAAGAAAATGTAATAAGTACACTTTAGTAATCAAGCAGTGAAACCTTTAGCAAACATTGGTGGTGGCATTTCATCTAATGCTTTATTTAATTTTACATGGCACATTTTTTGTTGATTTGTTCCTCAGGAAAAAGATGCAATGATGACCCCTATGCCATTTGCAAGACCGCAAGATCTAGGCCCATCAATTGCTATTGTAGCCAAAGTTAACCAGATTCAAGATCAGTTGCTAAAGAAACATGATATTGAACTCTACATGCATCTGAATAGACTAGAGATTGCACCACAGATTTATGGACTGTAAGTGTTTTGATTTATTTTACTTTTCAAGAGTGGAAACTTAAGAGGCTATAAACAAAAAGTTGCAATAAAAATCCAATGAGAGAGAGAGAGAGAGAGAGAGAGAGAGAGAGTGTTCATACCTCTTTGCGAGGAGAAATGCTTCAGTCACACTTCAAATACATGGAAGGCAGAAATGGGTTTCCTTGTGTTCTCCTTTTGTCTGCTTCTTTATGGGAACCAGCCACTTTTCTATTCTGGCAAACAGCATGTAATTCTGCATACTGTTATGGTGCCGTACCCTGTTAAGGGACTGTAAATATGATAGTTGTTCAAAAAGATCCTGATACAGGAAAGAAGAACCTTTTTTGGCTTGAGAGCTGAATTCTTCAAGGATAGTCTGTTTAGGATTGTATGCCACCATTGGGTGAGGCCAGAGGTAACACAGAGCAGGACATCTATCTCCCCATCCCCTCTCTTCTTCTGCCACTCTTATCTATTTAATATTTATTTTCCTTATTTTCCCCTCCTGCTGGAAACTCACCCCACCTGCATAAAATAAGAGCAAGCGCTGCCCACTGCCTTAACAGTTTTATGTGGCATTAACAGATGGTTTTGAACAAAGTGATGTGACTACTGCACAGACATTGTCTTAGGACAGAGAAAGTGAGTCATCTTGAGTCTAGGAATCATTTTGGGATGTCCTTCTTCTTTTGTTCTTTCTTAGAAAAAAAAGGTTCATAGTATATAGGGAAGAAATTCTAGTATCAGCCAGCTGTGTTCTTTTGAAGCATGCAAATTCACCTTGCTCATTGCTTATCCTCCGGCAAAGGAGTACAGATGGCCACATTAACTAATAGATGGTGTTCATATTCAAAATTTTGCAAATAAAGCACCCTAACAAATATAAATGAACATAGATTGTGTTCCTTATGTGTGGTTAATGGCTACTAATGTTTATCTTGTTTAGTATAAAATAATGTATTTTTCTCACAAATATCAGAGTTTTATAGTGTTATAGTGTTATTCAAAAGCAAAATGCTGTATTATAAATACTATGAAGTGTGTGCACCAGCTTCTCTCTGTAGAAATCAGTCTCACAGGAATGTTGCAGAAAGAAGGGACGTGGCAGGTCTATTGCAAACCCAGCCCTAGCAAGTGACATATACAGTATTGTAGCCTGTTGAGACTTTCAAAAGAATATGTAAGGAAGGTAACTTTAAAAATAATATATTTATATTGCAATGGATTTTGTCTGTGACAAAGCAAAATCACTGCAGTTGGCAATGTGCAACTACTACACTAGTCCTAACAAATTGATATAGCATTATCCTAAGATGCCAACATGGCCAGTGGCCAGCTGACATTAGGCCTGCAGAAGCTGTGCTGAATCCAAACCCCTCCCAACCTAGGGAGGCTGGAAATTGCTTAGGACTATGGTGACCTTGGCCAGACTTTGTGCAGCCATAGTAACCTTGTCATTGAACTGGAGGTAATTTGGATCAGGCATAAGTGGTTCCCCACCCCCACCCCCCACACACACACCTTGATGTTTTGTTTTATTTTTATGTTTTGCTCTTTTGTTGGCAGATCCTACCACAAGTGGGTTCTGCTATCGCAAGGTGTTTTTTTTTCTGGCATAAAAGGACTTTCACCAGCAGTAGAGGCGTCTGCCTATTCCTTACCCACTACAGTTGAATCATTGAAATTGGTATGGTAAAATAAATCAGCAACAGATGGGATAAGTTTAAATCTAATGACCAACAACTGTTTCAGAATGACTGAAATCTTATTGTTTAGTGTAGTTAGTCACAGTAGAGTATGACTATTGAATCAGGGGTTTGGTGAGTCAGTTTCTCTCCTTTGTACGCTTTACTTTCCTCCCTCACTCCCTAGTTTGTAGCAAAACATAGTTTACCCATAGCAAAGCTTACACCTGCAAGCTTTGTCCTTGCCTTTAAACAATTAGTGTTACCAGGGTTTGATGGCACTTTTAACAATCATCCCTATCCTATACCTCATTGATCATAAAGAGACAGGTACAAATGTTCCCTTCTCTCCTGGAAGAATCCACGTGAAGTGAGAGTATGGGAAAGAAGCATAGAAATGTAATAGACATTTGGGTTGATGCAGATATCTAACATTGGACTATAGGATGATGATCATCAGTGAGCAATATTTATGGACCTTTAATAGCCAATGAATAGCTTAGATGGAGAGAAATTTTAAAAATTAAGACAATGATAAAGTGGAAGCTCATAAGGTCCCAGTGAGTTATATATGTACATTAGTGCAGAGTTTGTGGGATTCTTCCAGTAGACCAGCCACTGCAGCAGAAAGTCATTTGGATTCTTAATCTGTGGGATAATTTATCAGTAAAACTGCTGGAAATATTAGAAATAAATCAATGATATATACATTCTTGTTCAGTTGACAATGAGAAAAATGACATGTCCCTCTTATGTGTTTAATCTGGACTAGATGCTAGTATCTGAGATGAGAAACAAATATAAGATGTCAGCACATTGTAATTATTGTTGCCCCTAGCACTGTCAAACATCTTTTTTGGAGTATCAGTTGCTACTGTTGTGTAGGTTAAATGGCCTCTTTAGTATTGTTAGTGTAAAAGGATTCTGCTGTTCCATTCCATTTGAACATGTTTTCTTGAAAAGTTAAAAGAGATAAAAGGTACAGTGAAAAGTTTCTTATTTGAGCATTTAATGGCAATGTAAGAGAAATTGTGCAATCACAAGGTAAGATGTGGAATAAGAAGAACAGTCACTTGTTAGAGTAAGAAAGGAGACCAATGCAGTGATCTAACCTTTTCTTAAAAGAACATGCAACATCTAAGCTGTTAATCGTTACCATCCACCACCAGAGGCATCTCTTAGCTGATGTGAAATACTTTCCAATATTAACACTCCAATATGCATGTAAGATACAAAATTGTCGTTATCTTCTTTGTAAAAGAATCTGAGGAGTAGAGTGGACGTGTTACTTGGTTGCAAAGAAAACATCTTTCTGCACCCTAGAGCCTTTTTTTTCTTGGTATATGTTCTTATGAACTGTAGCCCACTTCATCAGAGACTCGATGTAGTACTTGAGTAGACAAAGATAGTATATAAATCTTGGTGTCTACTCAAGTAACACACAAAGCCTCTCTACTGGAATTGGGGTCAGCAGGGATTAAAGGGTATTGAAGTGCAGCAGGTACAATACTGATGATAAGCTATTCATTGGAGATTGTACTTTCTGCATTCTTCTGGTATCAACATCTGAGACTCAATCAAAAAAGAATTTCAACCAACGGTTTCAAGTACAAGAGTATTATTTCTTGACTTGAGACTGCTGGGTGTGATGCTATAGTTTTAATAATGCAAGCTAAAAGAGAAACAACCAGCTTTGAAAGCACACCAGCAGAGACTTAAGCTCTACCGGACGTGGTGGCACTGTGGGCTAAACCGCAGAAGTCTGTGCTGCAGGGTCAGAAGACCAAGCAGTCGTAAGATCGAATCCATGCGACGGAGTGAGCGCCCATCGCTTGTCCCAGCTCCCGCCAACCTAGCGGTTCGAAAGCATGCAAATGGAAGTAGATAATAGGGACCACCTCGGTGGGAAGGTAACAGCGTTCCGTGTTTAAGTCGCACTGGCCATGTGACCACAGAAGATTGTCTTTGGACAAAACGCTGTCTCTATGGCTTGGAAACGGGGATGAGCACCAACCCCTAGAGTCGAACACCACTGGACAAAAATTGTCAAGGGGAACCTTTACCTTTACCTTGGGAAGAAACTCTATTTGCAACCCATCCGTCAGAGATGGAGACTTCCTCCAATCCTTCAGTTACTCCTCGCTCTGAGACAACTGTGTCTGTCCCCTCTACATCTACTTCCAAGTCATCTAAGCCCTCTAAGAAAGCCACCTCAGGTCCGTCCAAGAAGGCTCCTTCTACATCTAAGGTGCCTGTCTCCAAGGACGCTACAAAGCCTAAAAAACAGGCAGGACAGCCTAAGAAATCCAAGGATAAAGAGATCACCTCTCTTCCACCTGTTACACCTTCACTGCCTTCGCCAATTTTGGAGGATTCTTCAAGGAACCAGGAATCCCTGTCTGAAGCGGCTCCATCTTTGCCACTCTCCCAGCAACCTGAGGCACCGCTTGAGCCTGGGCATTCACCCAGTCTGGACAAAGTTGAGGAGCCTGTCTTATCCAGGCCTCATTCTGCCCATCTTGGCCCTGCAACTGCCGGCTGGGCAACTGAGACTCCGCATTCCCCCTCTTGCTCCCCAAGGAGAGATCTTCCTCCTTGCAAAAAGGGGTCGAAAAGGTGGCATTCTTCTGATCAACGTCGTGATTCTGACTTGGAGACTTCCTGACGTTGGAAGAGACACAGGCATGAGCGATCTGGACGCAGTCGTTCAGGACGGAGGAGGACAAAACATCAACGTCGACATTATGATACCGACTTGACGTCATCCTCCTCCTCTTCTAGTTACTGCAGGCACAGAAGGAGGCGCTATTCTCCCTCTTTGACCTCAAGTTCTTTGCCTTCTCCACATCGACAGGCTCATAATACTCTGCCTACTATGGATACGAAGGCTTCTAAAAAGGCTTCTTCTCCCTCGACATTGAGGGCTAAGAGTACCCAACAAACTGCTCAGTTCTCCTTAGCTGAGACTGCTGTGCATAGAGTCCCATCTGAGGAAGATGACCAGCTTTGCGAGGTGTCTTCCAATCAAGATGGAGAGGTTTTCTCTCCATTGCAAGCCGTCACCAATAGAGGCGGACTCCTTCGAGTCAGATACAGGGGATCCCCGTCCATCCTCTCCCTCTGAGGATTTCTCTTCTTATTCTCAAATGGTGACCAGAATGGCTAATGTTTTGAAAATGCAAACACAACTTCCACCTCCTCCCACAGATGATCCCATTTTTGGAGACATCTATCGAAAGTCTTCTCAACCACTTAGCCTCAACTACATTTCCCAGCTGTTTACTGTGACTATGGACGCTTGTTCTCAACCAG